GCTTAGTCTAAAAAGCTTATCGGACGGTTCCCAGGCGCGCGGTGCACGTGGGTCTTTATCGAACGGTCACTCGGTGAAGCAGTAACCTGGACACGTGGCGTGTAGTGATTCAATAAGTCGATAGCGTATAATAACGGACGATGCGCGGCCGCGAGTTCAGCGCGCAGCCGGGAGTCGGTGCGCAGTCGTGCCGTTGCAGAGGATGTCGCAAGATATGTCACTAATTGTGTCAGCTGTGCTCGTAACAAGGCGAGGCGCCACGCGCCATACGGCCGGCTGCAGACAATTCCGGTCCCTGAAAAGCCTTGGCATAGCGTGTCTATGGACTTAATTGTCAAGCTACCAGTAACGGCCAGGGGCCATGACTCTATCTGTGTTTTCGTTGACAGGTTGACGAAGATGGTACACTTCGTGCCCTGCAAGGAAAAACTGTCTGCGAAAGGATTCGCAGAGCTCTACGTAGACAATGTTTTCCGTTACCATGGTCTTAGCGAAGAGTTCATTTCTGATCGTGATAGTCGGTTCACGAGTGAGTTTTGGAAAGGAGTGACCGAGTTGCTTGGCACGCGGCTTTGTGTGTCATCTTCTTTTCATCCTCAGACGGATGGTCAAACTGAACGGGTTAACCAGACTCTGGAAGCATATCTGCGTCATTTCGTTTCTGCAACGTTAAATGACTGGGATCTCTTGCTGTCACGTGCAGAGTTTGCCCATAACAACGCTTTCCATGAATCTGTTCAGGCCACGCCGTTTTATCTGAATCACGGCCGCCACCCGAGGACTCCAATGGGTGGTAAGCGCGATGATGATGTACCTGCTGATTCTGCTGCCTTCGTTGAAAGATTGCAATCAACTCTCACCTTGGCACGCAAGTTGCTGATTGCTGCTCAACAGAGACAGAAGGCATATGCAGATAAGCACAGGATTGAAAAGTCCTATAAGATTGGAGAACAGGTTCTTCTGAGTACGAAGTACCTGAACATAAAGCATGGCGAAACTAATCGCAAGCTTCTCCCGAAATGGATTGGTCCATTCAAAGTCGTGCAGAAGGTGGGTCCCGTCTCTTATGAGTTAGAGATAAATCCAGGCTGGCGTGTGCATCCTGTGTTTCACGTCTCTCTGCTGGAGCTGTACAAAACTGACGGCAGGATCCGACCCCCACCTCCTCCAATTGAATTGGAAGGTGCTCTGGAATATGAAGTGGAAGCGATCGAAAAGCATCGAACCACTGGGCGTAAGAAGCCTAAAACCTCCTATCTTGTTTCATGGAAAGGTTATGGTCCAGAACATAACTCATGGGAGCCGGAGGCGAACGTCGCGAATGCTCCTGAAAAACTTGCGGAGTACTGGAAAAGGTACGCTGAGAAACAGAGTGGGGTTGAGGAAACCCTTGGAGCCCTCATTCTGAAGTAACAGGTACAGAGCCAAGACAGTTGTGGCTCCCCGCGACACCTCGAGATAAGTCGGATCTCTTGGTTACCTCGTGTAGTTCAAAAACTGTTTCTGTTCTGTTCTGACTTCTGAACTGGTCTCAAATACGTGACATGTCAATAGCTGACATTCTGATGCAATTTCTGCAAATCTGAAAATGATACCACTGTGACGATCGGGGTCCTTACCACTGGACCACGGAGCCAAAAGGCATTTCTGAATCTCTGAAATTTCTGAATTGATTAAAGTCTTCTTTAGTCTCTACTGCTTGAGTTAGAGCAATTTGAGCTCTTCTCGGGACTCTGAATAGAGCCACGGCGTGTTTCGTCGAGGGGCTCGTCTTTCTGTTCTCTGAATTCTGTTACAAAATCCCCAGTATCTGAGTGTTGAGCTGCTGGGGTGTAAGTCTGGAGCACTGTAACGTTTGGAGTTCGGTTAAGACTAACCATCCATCCGTTAACAAATATGCCAATCTAACTCGGCATAGCTCAAGTCTGATGTGACTCAATAACAGGCATTTAATTGTCTTAGAGTCCTCATCATTGGGTTGTCACTGTCGGCGTAAAAGTCGAGGACAAGCCCATGTGTCTGAATGATGAATGGCATGTATACATACTCTGTATGGTGCCAAGTCGTAGTGCAAGTCATGACATGTATGCATGTTTGACCAATGAATGCGTGCTTAAGCCTGCTACATGGTATGCAGCATGCTAGAGGGTGCACGTTGCACTACTACGGTCTGAACCTGATGTTGACTGTGTAAACCAGTGCATAGCTTATTGACGTTGACTAGAGGTATGCATTAGGGCAGTCTGCGGACAGCCCTAAGTAAGACTGATACTCTAAGATTCGCCATGAGGCGTACTGCCTGGGAAGACAGAAGACTGAAGGATTGTGAAGCGGGGATCATTCATTCGAATTCCCAACCAGCAACACAATTCCTACGAACTCAGGGAAGATCGTTTCTGAAGAGCCGCACCCTCGAACTGCAAGCATATCTGTGAAGGCATCCATGATTCCGCCATGGCTGCCCTGACGTGAGAGCGAACTAGCACGTCCAACATTACAACATATCTATTAGTGGAGAAAGGCAAGAGATCTTGATTGCTGCTGTCAGTGCGCAGTGCGATGACGCACCTGCCCCTTGCCGCCGGCGGTGCCAAAGGCCAAAGGGATTGAAGCAGGAGGAGCAGCCTGCTCGCGAGGTTCCGCGAGGCCGGCGCTTCAGCGCTGCTGACCAGAAAGCAAAGCAGCAGGATGCGCCGGTACTCGAAGAAGCTCTGAATTGCGCTGCGGAACGTGGTGAGCAAAAGGCGGATTGTTTGCTTCTTCAGATGCCAACACTTAAGTTCAGGGGATCTTTGATTGCTGGCCCTGCAAGCAAGTGTATCAAAGCTCATTCTCTTTTCATTTTCAACAAACAGTAGGACATCAGTGCCATCAAACATACCACGGTTTCAAGAAAAGAGTGTTCTTTGGAACTTTAGAACAGTGGGTCGATGATCCTTCATGAAATGACCAGCAGATTTTCAGTGGCATGGCTAGGCGTGCGTTGGGAAGTGTACCAAGATTTTGCCATTCTTTCTAAAGATACTAATGGGCCATTTCTTGGTACAGCGCGAGAAGTTGGTGGCATGGCTGGATCTGCGTTGAAATTGTACCAGGTTTGACCACATAAGAATGGCATTGATGGCATGGCTGGGCATGCGTAGGGAAGGTACCAAGTCCTGACCACTTCTTTTTCAACATAACAATGGCACCAAGAGTTGATGGCATGCCTGGGCGAGGCAGGGAAGTGAACCAAGTTCTGACCCATTCTTTCTCGAGATGATCATGGATCACTTCTTGGTACAACGCCAAAAACTGATGGCATGTCTGGGAAGTGTACCAACTTTTGGCCAATTATATGTTAAGATAACAATAGGTCATTTCTTGGTACAGGGCCAGAAGTTGATGGCGTGGCCGGTCTTGCAGGCAGGTGTGTGCGATAGGAATGATGGCCATGATTCTCTTCGCCTTCGTCTCTTTTCTAGACCTCATGCCTTTCATTGCCGTGAGTGCGACACGCCCGCAGGATTCAGGCTTCGTGGGGGCAAGTACGGAGGGAATGTCAGATACTATTGCGAGCGCCACGGCCCTACAAAGGGTTGTTTCCAGATCGACAAGGACCGTGCAGGTAAGAGGAGACACACACACCTTGCTTCAAGTTGTGTGCAGCAATCAGCAACTCGACCTTAATCACAAGTGCAGGTCTTTGCATGGCTGTGCACAGCCCCCGCAAACTTGCCCTTATCGTGCCCTTTCTTCATTGCAGCATGGGTTCAGGGGCGCGAGAAGACGGGAAGGAAGGCGAACCCTGCCTGTCCTGAACGCGAGCAGCATCTGAAGGGGTCCGGATCACCTGCTGCACGTCGGTCAGGGACAGCAACAGCAGGTGAGCGCCCAGAATTTTAAAGGGGAATAGAATTCGGCACTGTGCCAAGCCAGCTGTCACACTCTTTAGCTCGCAATCACAGAAGATGGTTCCAAGTCGCGCAAAAACCGGAGGGGTTTCAAGCGGCGCCCCAAAAGCACTGTACCAAGGAAAAGCGTTTTGTGGTGCTTCAACCCCGCTTCTCATCGAGAACGTGTACCAGGAACGACCTATTACTTCTTAAGAATCCTAATGGGCGTTCTTAAGAATCCTAATGGGCGTTTTTGGTACGCAAATGTCGCCGGGTATGGCCGGACAGATTGCATGCTCTTGTATAGCCGCACGATTTGGAGGACTACTGCAGGTTCCCTGGTAGTCAATTGTGACGTCCTAAGTGCGGCAATTCTGACCCATTGAGCGCCTCCTTTTCAGAGTCCGTGTGCGCTGACCGCGGCGCCCGCCACAGCCCCCCCACAACCGCCCCCCCTGCGGCCGCCAGCGACTCTGAGTCGGACTGCGGTCTTGGCGCAGCCTGCCATCAGCACGCTGCCAGTGACGAGGCGCAGCCCGGGCAGCCTCCCGTCCACCGCGCAGAGGGCCTGTGCGCGCTTTCAAGCGGGAGCGCCAGGTTTGGGGTTCAGCCCACTGTCATGAAGAGCGTGCTGGTGAGGAGCGCATTCCAAGGTAAGCGACGAACCCCTCCTTTCATCGACGATCCCATGCGTGTCCTCTCCTGACAGATTTTGGCGGTTTCTTCTCGAACATCAAAAGTCCGCTCAGATTCTGGTACATCTTGGCAGGTACGGCCGGGGCCCCTCAAAAACGGTGCGATGCTTTGCAGGGTGCGGGGGTGTGTACCAAGAAAGGCTGTATTACTTCTTAAGAATCTAATGAGCGTTTTCTGGTACATCCTGCGGGGTATGGCCGGCTTTGCCCATCAAGCGCATGATCCGACCATCCAGCACACAATCAGCGCGTACCAAGAACGATGTATTACTTTTTAAAGAATCTAATGGGCCTTTTCTGGTACATCCTGCGGGGTATGGCCGGGGCCCCATCAAGCGTGATTCCAGCCATCCTGCGCACAATCAGGATGTACCAGGAAACGCTGTATTACTTTCTTAAGAATCTAATGGGCCTTTTCTGGTACATCCTGCAGGGTATGGCCGGCCTTGCCCTTCAAGCGCATGATCCGACCATCCAGCGCACATTCCGAGTGTACCAGAAAACGCTGTATTACTTTCTTAAGAATCTAACGGGCGTTTTCTGGTACATCCTTCAGGGTATGGCCGGGCCCCCCAATATGGTGCGAGCCTTTGCCGCACCGCAAGCGCCAAGTGTTTACTTTGTAAGATTTCGAATGTCTGCAGGACCACTGGAATCGTGGCAGGACTCTCAACTCGCCCGGCCCTTCAGGCTTACCCCCCAACATTATGCTCGTGCAGGATCTCCGACCTACGAGTGCGGGTCGGAGAAGGTCTTTTACTCCTCAGCACCAAAGAGCAGGGCGCTGATAGGTACGATGGCAGATCTCTGGCATTTGTTGGCAAGAATAGGCTTCCGTCGGCTTTGTGGATACGACAGTGAATGCACGAGTCTAGCTTGAAGGGCTTGCCATTCTGAGGACGATTGATTGAGGGATCCCTTCGGTGCGTTGCAGCGACACAACTGAAAATCGGGGGCGTGGAAAGCAACCCGGGGCCAACACAGGATCCCGACGCCCCGAGCAGCTCGTCCGGACGGCCCCCGATTCCGATTACGACTGCGGAGGTGAGCAGTTTGTCAGGCAGAATCGTTCAGAATTGTTCCTGCCTCCTGCCTCCTGCCTCCCTTTCCGCACCCCCAAGGTTTTCGTGACCTTTCACACCGTGATCTGTAGCATTGGCAGAGCGACCAAGTGATCAATGATGATGAGTAAATGTCCAATCCATGTCATGCAGGAGGTCCAGGAGAGCGTCAGGCCGAAGCCAATCAGCACCGAGGCATTTGATGCGTGGCGAGCAAGCGTGAGTCTCCGCCGCTGTCCGACGTGTGCGAGACGTTGTCATCGAGCACGCTCATCCATATGCGCCCATGCACGGTGAGCGCTTGCATATGGAAAGAGTCGATTGGTTGATTTCTAACTCTTGCGTGCGCCTCTCTCATTCAGCGACCAAATCCAAACTGGGTGGCAGAGGCGATGGCACTCTACTCAATACAAGCGGGTCAACCGCAGGGTCAAGAGCCGCCCAGTGAGCCAAGCGCCGCCGGGGAGGTGAGTGTCCTACATTCCTCAACTGCTGCGCGGCAGATGCGCTTGGAAAGCTCGCCTTTGAACTCCTCAAATCTGCCCACTTCACTGTCCAGAAACTCGTCGAAGAATCCGATAACATCGTCGCTCGACCAGGCGTCGAACCCCCCCGCTTGCATGAACCATCGAAACAGCCACGGCCAGGATAGATCCCTCGGGTCGTTGCATGTGCCCCTCCTGCAGAGGCGCGTGATTGCATATGCGGCTGCATCCTGGAAGCTCTCTGCTGCCCTCAGAGTGTCTCGATCGATCATGGCGCCGAGCGCAAAGACGTCCTTCACCTGCTCGGCGGTCCTGACCGCACTCCAATTGTAGTACCATTCCATGTTTGAAGTTGCCTTCTCTACGTGTCATCTGCCCCTAAGCCCCTTGCCTGAACTCCATGTCGTGCAGGAGACGGGCCCCTCCTCCAGCAACCCGCATTCTGCCAGCCAACCTCGCTCCGCTGCTGCAGAGCCGGCACCTACGGTGAGCCCATTCGTGCAGCCAGAGGCATCTTGACGAGGATCCTGTTGCCTTCGACAGTGATCGAACCCTTGTCGCCCCGGTTAGCGCCCTTCCAATTGACGGTCCCGCTCAGCTGCACTCCCCATACGGCAAAAAAGTGGGAGATGAGGTACTCGAGCCAGCTTACATAATTGTAGAGCTTCTCCCCTTTGTCCCAAACAAGGGCGCGCTTGTTGGGTGATACCGTCCACTGGCAATAGTAGGAGGGGTAGTTTTCGTATTTGTTGAACCACTCGCCAATATAACACGGCTTGAATATCTCCCGCTCGATCGTGACTGGGCGCTTCTCGAAAACTGCGTAAGGTAGCTCGAGGTCCTCCTGGTGGCGGTGGTCGTGCACGGCTTCCAGATTTGCGCTCTCCTCGGCAGTCAGGGGGCGGGAAAGGGCAAAGCGGCCGGTGAACCTTGTGTCGTAGCCCATGATCCAATGCCCTTCTGAGTGCCAAAGCGTTTGCCTAAGTCTGTGTGATACCGTTCTATCGGTCGAGGTCGCCTCGTCTGTGCGCCCTTTGTCCTTAACTCCTCACACTCAAGATTGCGATCTTGCAGGACCCGCGCCCCTCCTCCCACCCCCCGGATCCTACTAGCCAACCTCGCTCCACCCCTACACAGCCAGCACCTACGGTGAGTCGAACAATGCCTCGATGCGGAATGCCTCGATCGGATCCATCTTGACGACAATCCGGTCGCCATCGACCGTAATTGACCCCGTGTCGCCCAAACGATTGCCCTCCAATGTGACGGTGCCGCTCAGCTGTACTCCCCATACCGCAAAGAAATGAGAGATGAGGTACTCGAGCCAGCTTACATAATTGTAGAACTTCTCCCCTTTGTCCCAGACAAGAGCGCGCTAATTGCGTGAGACAGTCCAACGGCAGTCGAAGGAGGGGAATTCCTTGAAGATGTGGAATCCCTCCCCACAGTAGTTGCGCTTGACTCCCTTCCGCACGATCTTGACTGGGCGCTCTTGACTGGGAGCCGCAGAGGGTAGCTCTAGGCTATCCTGAGGGCGGTAGTCGTGCACAGCCTTCAGAATCGCGCTCTCTTCGGCGGTCAGGGGGCGAGAAAAGGCGAAGCGGCCGGTGAATTTCGTGTCAAAGCACATGGTTATAATGGCCTTTGAGCGCCAAGGCGTCCCCCTAAGTACCGGTGACGCCTGCCCTGAATTGAGCGTGTCCCGATGCTTGGATGCAGGAGGTCGCACGTCGGAAGAGGACCGCCTCGAGCAGGGAGAGCTCCCCGGCGCCCACCGGTACTCGGATGCGGACCGGAAGCCCGGACGAAGCGGTGAGCAATCGTGTGCTGTGGCTTTTAGGGAGAAGTGTGCGCGATTGGTGAGAGAGTGAGGGGTATGCCGGGCTGTTTTGTGCCCTAAAGGCATTCGGCTCTGTCTTCATTGCCCGGCTAAGCACCTTATGCATTTGCCAATCGCAAATTCCCATTGCAGATTCCCATCGCTTTTGCTGACTGTCAATGAGGAGCAAGCACGGCGGGAGTCCGTTAATCCCTTTGTTGATGTCCCCCTGCAGGAGGCTGCGGCGATGTCTGACGAAGAGGCCGGCTCCGTCGACATCGAAGAAACGTCAGACGAGACCGAGTCCGACGAAGAGCCCACATCCGAGGATGACCGGGGCGTCGACGACTCGGTGCTGCCGGACGCTGAAACACGGGATTTGTACCGGCGGATGGAGATGGAGGAAGCGGAAGCTCGGTTCGCGGAGGACGAGACCCCGGACGATGCGCTGGCGCCCATGCGGATGGAGATGCAGTGGAGGCGGGCCCGGGATGAAGCGCCACAGACCTCTGTGTAAGTAGCTCTTCTTTAAGAGATTGTGGTGAACCTTACAAACTTGGTGGAGGCTGCAGGTCACCCCCGCTTCTCTTGGGCTGCCTGATGTGCTTCTTGGGCGAATCGTTGTCGAAAATCTGTATCAAGCAGATGGTGCAAAGTGTACATCAAGTAGCATCCAGGAATTGAGCGTTTCAACAGATCGCTGACACGTGTACATCTTGACTCTCTGATGAACACGCTTGGCGTTCTCTCTTTTTCCAGTATTCGCTTTGGGGCTGGCCTTACATTCTCCAGTGTAAGGCGGGCCGGCCCATCAAATGTTGCAGTGTTTTTGAAATCGCTGAATCATTTCTTATAAAAGTTGGAAGCTACTCTTGGTACATGCTTAGCGATGCTTTCCTGGTGTACGACAGCCAGTGCCATCAAGCCCATCTAGCAGAACGGGCCTATCAAACTTGTATCTCTCGAAAGCGACATGTCCCAAGAACCGACGTGTTACTCGTTAGAGAAGTAAAAGGCAGTTTCTTGGTACACCGTGGGGGTACGAAAGCCCGCATCTCGCTCATGAGCACGACAGCATGTTGCAACTCCTGTCCAGGGCTTGGCACCTTTGCGCTGTGGCGTTTGACTTATCAATCTTACATTGCTCATGCAGATTCTCAATGGCGCACGAGGATCTTGTGGCAGTGCCTGAGCCAGCGGTGCATTCTGACCCGCTGACTGGCAACGAGGTCTTTAAGAAGGACGGGTTTCGGGTGCTGCGTGTGCGGGAGCACGAGACCAACTGCTTCCATCAGACGGGGGCCAACCCAACGGGCCGCCTTCCCGGCCCAAAGTTCTTCATGCAGCAGGAGGCGGCGCTCCTAAACCACGAGGCGCAGGTGGTCCTGCACAAGTGGTCCGGAAAGGTCGAGAAATTGGTGAGGGTCCCGTGGCGCAGCTTCGCTTCGTACCCCGACTGGGAGACGGCGCGGTCGCATCTCGAGGGGCGGCACGGGTCAGTGACGGAGATCATCCAGAACGGAAAACCCTGCAAGCCCTACCTTGACCTCGATGGCAAGGACGGGCTCCCCTTCAAGCGCAAGCCGGTGACCGGGGCGGATGGGGAGGTTGTGGAGGCTGGGGAGAGGTACGGGGGGGAGGAGGTGATCAAGATCGTGGAGGAGTGGGCCGTTACTGTGTTTAAGGAACAGTACGACCATGAGCTGCAGCCGAGCAGCTTCGTCTGGATCGAGAGCCCCTGCCAGACCAAGTTCAGCCTCCACCTCACGATCAATCAGCTGTCCCCCCGTCAGCTCGTCTTTGGCTCCAACACCGAGGGGGCTCTCCACTTTGCGAGGCGCCTCAAGAAGAGGTTGCTCCCGTGGCATCCTGCGGTCGCGAATCTCATCGACCTGAACGTGTACACGAAGGACCGCGAGTGGCGGACGCTGGGGAGCGCCAAGATCGAGAAGCCGGAGAGCGTCTTGTCGTGCATCAATCCGGCCCATTCCTGGAAGGATGCTCTGGTGACCTGGCTGGAGCCCCTCGAGGTGAGCAAGTCATCCAGGCCCCACACCCGCCAGGTCGGTCACGTCCTGAAGAGTGTACCTGAAAACGGCCTTTTACTTCTCTGAAGAGTTATACGGCCTTTCATGGTACGGGGCAGATTGTGCGTTTGATGGGCTGCCCGGCCATACTCGCAGGACGTACCAAAAAAGGCCCTTTAGATTCTTCAAGAAGTAATACGTCGTTTCTTGGTACCTAAGTGCTGCTGTTTTTGCGCTTGATGGGCTGCCCGGCCATACCCGCAGGACGTACCAGAAAAGGCCCTTTAGATTCTTCAAGAAGTATACGTCGTTTCTTGGTACACAAGTGCTGCTGGTTTTGCGGCGAGCCTGACCAGTGGTTCCTTGAAGCGCGGCCTTGAGGTTCCTAGAAAGAAGGATCCTGCTTGTGGCGCACTCCTCGTTTCTGATCGCCTCGTCAGCGTTGATGCTTGGTGGAATCGCTGCATTTGAAGGCGCTCCGCTTTTGCTGCAATCTGTCCTTCTCACGCAACTATTGATTGAAAGATAGTGCAAGTTTTGTTAGGTCAGAGAATTGACAAACACGAAGTGTCATGGCCTGCTTACCGGCTTCCTCTTCTCATTTAGACGTAGATGATTTGGTACGAATGCTCTCGTAAACAGCTGCTCTCGTGCTGTCTGCAGGCTCGTGAGGAGGTCAAGCTGCCATTCGAAGTACCCAAAAGGCTCCACGAGAGGTTCCAAAACCCTCGAGTGATGTCTGAACGGGGCACGGAGCGCAGCTCACAGAACGACGAGTTTGTCAAGGCGCGCATGCTGACGCTGCTCAGAGAGCGCTTGCACCCTAGCGCCTATGAGGAGGGCCTCGATCGCTACAACTACAGAGATCGGGCAGAGCCGTGCTACACGGGTCGGATCCACGAGAACCGTCAGAATCTAACCTGCCACCTCAACCCAAACGGCAAGATCTATGCTCTTTGTTTCAGCCAAAATACCGAGGGCGGGGACTCGGACGTTCCCTGTGTCAAAAGGGCGTTCTGCCTTGGGGACCTGTTCGAGGACAACATCTCGTACGAGACTGGCGCGGTCAAGGTAGACATGGAGCACCTGACGCGGGCCCCCGATGCGTCGACCCCTGAGCTCGTGGCTGAAGTAGGGGCGGGTATGAGGATGCCGAGCGACCTGATGAAGCTGAACACGGTCGCCAACGAGTAAGTGTTGTAGCGGAAAGATTAAGTACGTGTCCATTGTGATGCGGGAAGCTTTCAATTCTTTTGCGCCTGACAAGCTTTTGTTTCGGCCACAAACCCACTTTCTGGCCAGCGTCCTAGGGCTGTTCGCGACCACCGCGATTTCCCACGGAGTGTGCGCTTCTGTACGCGTACCACACAGTCGTCTTTTGCCGCTTTTGACAATTCTCCACATTCTTTTGCCACGTGTCGACCGACCTTCAGATGACCGCGAGGAGTTTTGCGAGTGCTGGCTGGATTGGGTGCTTCTGTGCGCCCACCTACCGCAAGGGCTTTGTTTTTGCCACATGTCTATGTTTCAGGTTAGTGGCGGGATTTTCGGCGGGGCTTTCTGCAAGTGTTGGTAGATTGGGCGCTTCTGGACGCCCACTTCCTACGAGGAGCTTTTCTTTTGCCACGTGTCGAAATTTCAGGTCGCTTGCGGCATCTGCGGGTGCTGATTAGTATGGGCGCTTCTTGGCGCCCACCTATTGCGAGAGTTTCCCCCTCAGCCGCAAGTCATGCACAACTTGACAAAAGTCCTTTTGTCACAGGTCTACACCACGTCCAGATTCTGGCCATCAAGGGGTTGTTTGTTTCTTCTTGGACGCGCACTGAAGCGCGGGGTCCTCCTTTCGATGCAGACCAATGCTTGCCTATCTGTTACTGTCCACTTTGAGAGCAGCACAAGGAGCCCTACGAGCTTCCGAATTCAGGCCGTACAAGAATACTTCAAACGCTGACCTACCCTTCTGAGCTGCTTGCAGGTGAAACTCAGCACGAACGAGATTGAGGTCAAGGCATAACCCACAACCGTTAAGAATTTCGGCCTTCTTCCTGCCTAAGAGTGACTCATTTCAACACATGTCAGGGCGTGTTGATAATCCTCTTGTCCACACTTGCAGGTGGATCCAGGGCAAGTTTCCCCTGCTTGGCATCCGGTCGGGCGTGAACACTGGCAAGACGGTGTTCTGCGGGGCCGTTGGGGATGAGCTTTGCGAGCAAGCGACCGCCCCCTCACGTCGATCATGATCACGTACCGAGTGGCCCAGGCTCAAGACCTGAAAGAGCGCTTTCCCCGCACCGCAAACTACCTCGACCTGAAGGCGGACTACGATCACAAGAACGTGTGGTTCGAGGATCCGAACAACAAGCACATCCTCCTAACGGCCCTCCAGTCCCGAAAGGGCTTTCCCGAAATCGTGGTTCAGGTGGACAGCCTCCTCAACCTCCGGCGGGGTGGCATTGGCGAGGTTGCCCCGTTCGATCTCGTGATCCTCGACGAGGTGGCAAGCATCCTGGCGCACCTCTCAGCAGCAACTCTAAGGAACGGCATGGAGACCGGCGAGCTGTTCTTGGAGATTGTGCAGCGGGCAAGCGCGTGTTGGCCATGGACGATGGGTACGGGCAGCGGGAGCACGACTTCTTCCGCCTCGCAAACGTGCCTGGGAAGCTCATCATCAACAGAAGAAGGGCAGCGGTAGGCACTGAATTGATCGCGCTCTGATCAGTGATGACAGCTTTTGACACAGTGCGTCTTCCTGTTTGCTGAAGTTCTGGCCGTTTGGAGTCTGGACGCTTGAAAGTGCTTGATGCGGCATGCCTTGCTTTGGCCGCGCCTTGGTTCGCTGAAGTGGTTAGAAGCAGGATCGAACGGAACAGAAACTTTGGGCCTTTTGCCACGTTCTTTTCTTCTTGAGCGCCTTCAAAGGCAAGTGTGCCTCAGCATGTGTTGCTCAGATCTTTTTAAAGCACCTCTTGAACTGCTAACAGAGCCCGGCCATACCGTCACCTTTTCTAACGGGAGTTGTGTTTGATAGTGCAGCGTGTTCGTTCCTAGATTCAAAGACGGGCTTTTTGGTACCCGATGCTCTCTCACGTACATTCAGCCCACAGCGCGCTCATTCTCTGTACCACTTCATGCGCAGGTGCCTCTGACGTTCCGCGTCGGTCAGGACGAGAAGAAGTGGTTGGATCGAATCGTCGAGGACCTCGCGGCTGGCAAGAACGTGGTCGTCGTCAGCATGTCTGCGCGAGTCCTGGACCGCATCCGGGACCGGGTGACGTCACACCACTCGCTTGGGCTTGCAGACAGGGACATCCTCATCCATAAGGCCTTGAGCGGGGGCGAAACCACGGCTCTCCTGAAGAACGTTGCAGAGAACTGGAAGGTTCGCCTGCTCATGTACAGCCCCACCGTCAAGGCTGGCGTGAACTTTGACGTTCCTTGGTTCCATACCAAGTTCCTCTACATGTGCCAGAAGAGCACGACGGCTCGGGCAGCCTGGCAGGCGACGCTGCGGGTGCGGAAAACGGAGAGCCCGCTAGTTCATTGCTTCGTCTAGTCGTCCATCTCCGTGATGCTCGACTGTGCGCAAGAGATCCCAGCCGCGCGACTCTGCAATCTGGAACAGCAGGTGAGCAGATCGCATGCGGCAACTCTTCCAGGTTACTTGCTTGACGTCGAGCAATTAACCGCGCATTGTGCTCAAGCTGCGGAAGCCACTTGGATCTATCTCGTGCTGAAACCTGCATCTCTCTCCGGTGTGCCATAAGGGATTCAACTTGCTTGTCGTGCAGGGAACGACGGCTATGGCACCGCAGGCTCCGGACGTTGACGACGACCCTGCTTTGCAGGTATTCACTCTATCTCATCTGTGCGCTTCGTCCCTCCCACTATGCACATTGCTTCCCATCTTGCTTGGGTCGAGCCATGCAACCTCCAGTGGGGCAGCTCCAGTCTTCCAAGCCTGTGCTCCGAATGCTGCTTGACGGCCCCTGAAAAGTGCTTCATTGCGAAGGTGCTGACAACGCTGCTTGATAGCGAGCCTGAGACACGTGCTCCACTGCTGGGAAATTGACACGATTGTTCTCCTTTTCACCCGCAGGATGCTGATGGGGACCGCTTGGACCAGCAAGTGGCGGTCGATTCCCCTCTCAACCGGGCGTCCGATTCTCAGTCTGGGGCGAAGGTCTCCTTGGGCCAACATTTTGAGCAACTCAAGGTGGGAAGTGAAGATCGACGTGCCTGCCTTAGATTCTGTCCAACTGTCTGGCTTTACATGCGCCTTTGCAAAGCGTACAGTGAGCAAGTTGTTCCTAAGTTCATCCACTGCTCTACAATATTGTGAGGGCCATTTCAGGGGCCAGTTTCGTTGGTGCGCGTTTGGGGCCAATTTCGTGGGACTCCGTTTAGTGGGCTTGTTTTGTGGGGTCCAAGTGGGGTCCAACCGGCTTTGGGGCCGGTTCAGAGGCTAGCTTTGTTAAGGGCCACTTTGGGGGGACAGTTCTGTGAGGGCCATTTCGGGAGCTAGTGGGCAACCTCCAAACCTGATGGAGATAACAACATCTGACTGTGGCAGAGCTGTGCATGAAGATTCACTCAATCTGATGTTCCTATTTGCAGGGATTCTTTGGCCCTCCACGGCGCGTGACCACGGCGGAGACGCTGCAATTTTTGCAAGCCTGCAACAGCGAAGTGACGGCTGCATGGAGGCGAGTCGCGTCAAGGACCGAGGACCCCGGCAAAGTTGTCCGGCTGATCGAGGACGGCCCCCTCTTCCGGACGTTTGCGCATACGGAGGCGGAGCGGCGGAACTCAGACGTGCGCCTGCTTCACGAGTTCCAACTGCAAGTCGCGCGAGCTGGCCACGTGGTGGAGGTTGAAGAACCCAAGGAGCTTTCGAAAAAGAGTAAGAAGCGGAAAGGGCTGGACGCAAAGGCGTTGAAGATCATTGGGGCGAGGGCGATCGATGCGGCAGAGTATCAGGAGTTGAGGAGGTTGCGAGACACGAAGAGGGACAGGGGGGCGCAGAGTGTCGAGGTGATGAGGTACGAGGCCTGCCAGTACTACGGCCTGAAGGACCTTGACGAGCACTTCTTCAAGGAGACGAAGGCCGAGTACAAGCCCCCGTTCTCAAAGAAGCTCGACTTTCTGCTGAAGGTGCTACTCGAAGGGGAGTTGCTCGATGAGGGGGGAGTGGCTCGCCAGGGTCACGAGGTCAAGATGGTGGAGACTGCGCGGGGGCTGCTCAAGGACATGGGTCTGGCGCATGCGTTCGATGTGGGCGGTGAAATCCGCTCGCTACTTGCAGGCGGACTCAAAGACAGGCTCCTGCGATCGGACCTGTTCAAAGGCCGTCCCATGCAGGTCGGTTCGAAAACCGCGATGTCGGAGCGGCCCGTTTCCGAGATGTTCCAGATTCAGTTGCCAGCGCCCAGAACGGGGAAGGCTGAACTCGATCCGGTGCAATTGAAGGGGGTGATAAACAGAGTGCTGGAACACATGGGCCTGAAGGTGGGGAAGGGGATCGAGGTGGGCCGCCCGCGACGAGGGAAGGGGAAGCAGTACGAGTCGGGGTCCGGAAAGAGCACTACAAGTACAAGCTAGATCGGAAGAGCGTTCTCAGGATGGCAAAGCTCGTCAAGCTGCAGTTCCGTGAAGTCCCTCGTGTTTGGCAGCATCGGGGAGAGCTAGAGCCTGCGGTCAGAGGGTTTCTCAACGAGGTAGATGCGAGCAATCTTGATCATTTATTGCGTAGGCCGTCTGGTTACCCTTTGCTAGAGGATCTGAGCTCGCCGGCAGGCAAGGACGATTCTGAGGAATGTATGATTGTGGTTCGTTAGTTAGCAAGCTAGGGAGTATTCTGGTCGTAATGTATTGAAGTTCTTAAGTGGAATGTGGAGGTTGAATGCGAGTGAGCTTGGCACATAGTTGGCCCGAAATTGCCTAATCGGTTCAAGATAACTACGCGCTACATGAAGTATTACTGGACAGTGACCCTTAAGGCATGATGTTTATTACGCCAGCGAGGAGGAAGACAACGAGTCTTTGACATTGAAGATCAAATGTATTTGATGACTCTGTAATCATAAGATCGGGTCCAAGCAACAACGGCTGCGTGCAATGGTATCTTGTGATTTTTCTTCGTGAACGGTACGTCAACCGTTTGAATGGATGCGATTCTTGGCTATCGTCCTCAATCGCGCTTCGCAATCATTGAGATGGACAAATCCGTCCTTGAGAGCGCTCGATCAGCTATTGTACGATCGTACCAAGAGTTTGGCTTGCTAGATACGATATTGGATGCAGCGGCTCTGGCCGGCATGCGAGCTCTTACAGAGCCGTTCGACCTTCGTCATATAACCAGACAGCTCGTGCGGTCGCTAATCGCTGAAGGATTCAACGCCTTTTGGGACCAGTCCAATTTGCATGGCCCGTATGCAATAAAGGTGAGCTGGCGAGCCGCCCTAAATCACGCGTCTCAAGCACGACGTTGGGCATGGAAGTTGCGAATCTCAACGACTTGGACCCATGTTAACGTGCATAAAAAAGGAGTGTTATCTCCCACGAATTCCATGGAACCAACAGCAATCTCTCCATCATCCTTGTATCGTGCTCCGAGCGTTGTGTGGGACGACACTGAGCCGGTTTTGGGACTTGAAATGCTTGCAAACCCGTTGAAAGCTCGAATTGCTCACGAAGTCTCCGAAATCATGTCGCCCAGATAACGGGAATGTCCCAAAAGTCTCCATTTCTCATTTGTGTACATCGCCAGTCACGTTATCCAGCGCCAGTATAATTTCAGCTGAAAATTGAGTGGGCATCTGGCTTTTTAGGCGGCTTTTACACGCACTCATAACCGTTTTTACCGTTAAAAGCTGCTACCCATCTCAATTTTGTGCGAACGATTTTGAACGTGCTCGTTCATGTTATCTGGAATTGGAGACTTTGCTCAAGGTGGTCAAAATTTTCTTGAGAGTATCCAGAAATTGTGAAAGATGCAAGGGTCTGTTGAAATCACGAGACGCATAACCACCGTAACCCAGGGAGAAAGGCTGCTGCGCTCGGCGTTCGAGGATTGGTACTCGAAAGGACCTGACGATTCAACAATATATGAAGCATGTCGTGCGCTTGTTTCAAGGGTTCAAAAGACAACGAGACTTCACCTGCTTCGATTGGATCAAGGATGCCGACGGAATCATCAAGTACTTTCAGGAAACATATCCCACTAAGTTGTCGATGCAGGCCACTGGGATCAACCCGCTCCTGGTTCTCGTGCGGAAAGCATTCCCCGAGGACAAACAGCTCTATGATGCCTATTACAAGCGGTACAAAGTTGGCACGGTGGCGATCCTATCGGAGTTGAGGCGAAGCAAAGTCCCTCCGATCGCCGTTGCCCCCGGCCTTTTTCTTGTGCCCCTGCTCGACGCCTCCAGCGGGCGCCTTCTGGACATTTCTGCCACAGATCGAGGCTCAGCAACGCCCCTCGGCTCGTCAAGGTCGACCACATGGGCAGCTTCTGGTGCCTGTGCGGTAAGAAGGCGTGTCGTGACCACGAGGTGGGGTTCCTCGAGGAGACCCGTCTCATGGGCGGTTGGTGGCGAAGTGGGGAGGCCATCTTCACGGCCTTTGACGAGAGCCGGCCGCTTGTGCGCGAGGTCACGAGCGGCGTGCCTTGGGTGGTTCCCCTGGAACAAGGGGGGTGCGTGGGGGGTGCTCTTTCTGGGCTAGACGCGGAGGCGTGGAAAGGCGGGCCGCACCTCCGAGTGTTCGTCGTTAGCAACCCTGGAGAGGAACCCGTGGTTTGCGTGCTCTGGGGAGAGAATGCGCATTGCAGCGGCGTCGACTGCACGGGTTTAGAGCGGTGCCGGCACCTTCTGGGGATGCTCTCAAAGCAAACCTTGCCCCTGATTGATCGCGCAGTTGATGAAGGCGGGAGCCAAGCGACGCGGACCCTCGCCGAGAGGCGGGCAGAAAGGGTTGAGCAGCGAGAAGCAGGGACGAGAAGGCTCTTGGTCTGCAACGACCCCGCGTGCCGGCGACCCGACTCGAGAGTTGCGTGCACCCACCAAGAGACCCTCGAGCCTTGGGAGTGCCTCTCTGCGGCGGCGCTCGACATGGGCCACAGCCACAAGAAGATTGACACGGTCATGAGCCGGGGTGGAGCGAATGTTACGAGTATCTGCGAACGATGGGGCGAAGAAGGCGTGCGGCGACGGGACAAGGCAAAGCGTTCAAGCTCTCGTGGGCTCGGCCCCTCCTCGAGCGCCCTCTTGACACCGCGCCTCGACGGAGCGGCCGCCTTGGGCTCACGGCAGTACGGGCAGGGGGCGAGATCCCTCCTTTGCACGAAGAATTGGTGGCCGCCCTCGCTCGCCTCCTCCCCCGACCGTACCTCCCGAACCTCTTTCGTGCTGGGGAACACTTCGTACTTTGTGAAGAGTTCTTGCTGAGGAACAGGGCCCCCGGTCGCGCTCGAAAGAAAGGGGCTCCCCTCTTCGTACTGGGCCTCCACGCACCGCAAACACAGGAGGTGGCCCCCTCCACCTCGGCAGATCAGTGCCCCACCCCGGTTCCGTTTCCGCTCCCATATGGAGGGCTCGCTCCCCCGGGCGTAGACCGCTCCCTTTCCGCCACAGGTGCGCCCGATGCATGTTGACCCAAAGCCGCCCCGAGCAAAGGCCCCGGCAGGCCGCAAGCTGAAGGCGAGTCCGTAGTCGATTGCGAAGTCGGCGGCTCCCTGCTTGGCCGCATAGGAGGGGCGGCCTCCTCGCACGCCCCCAGCATTCGGCAAGGGAGGCACAGCCGCCGGGACGCTCCTGATGTCGCTGAAGACTGGAGCCGGTCCTTCGAAGTGGACTGCCGCACAACTCCTGACGGCTTGACCGGCTTTCAAGGTCTCGTGAAGGGTCGCCGAGGCCGCAGGGGTGGTCGATGCGATGAGCACGACGCCAGAGGATTCTTTTTCGTCACGGGACGCCGTCACGAGATTCATCCTGGCACCGGAGAGAAAGCTTTGAGTTTGAGCCGGGTTCGATGGCCCTAAGTCCCGGCGACCCTCTTGGGATTGCAAAGGGGGCGACTCTGTTTTGGAAAGAAACGACCGCCTTTCACGACCTCCTTCCGTTATGCGAGCCATGCTTGTAGCTTGCTGACCACGCTTATTGGCAAAATCTGTACCATAGTGGCAGTACGTGACTCAGTGCTGGCAAAGGACGGCGAGATCTGGCAGCGACCAGAGGCGCAAAGAACTTATTTTTCCAATGATGGGCCTTTTGGGCAACTCAACGCTCTTCCAGAAACTCTCGTAGACGACTAGTCCGGCCATACCTTGCAACTTGCATGTGTACCAGAAAAGGATCCGTTATGTTCTAAAGATATAATACAGCGTTTCCTGGTACAGGCCCATTGTGCGTTGGATGGTTGGAAGTCGGGGGGCCGGCCATACCCTGCAACTTGCATGTGTACCAAAAAAGGACCCATTAGATTCTTTAGATGTAATACAGCGTTTCCTGGTACACGTTCACGACTCCCTCTGAGCTGTGCCTCGAATGCAAAGCTCACAGCGTTTTGAGGGGCCGGCCATGCCTGCCAGGATGTACCAGAGACCAACCCATTAGATTCTTTAGAAGTAATACAGCGTTTCCTGGTACAGGCCCATTGTGCACTGGATGGTCGGAAGTTGGGGCCGGCCATACCCTGCAACTTGAAGGTGTACCAGGAAAGACACATTACATTCTTTAGAAGTAACACAGCGTTTCTTGGTACACGTTCACGACTCCCTCTGAGAGCTCTGTCTTCTGAATGAAAAAGCTCACACCGTTTGAGGGGCCGGCCATGCCTGCCAGGATGTACCAGGAAATGCCCATTAGATTCCGTCCAGTGAGAAATAGTACAGTATCGCTTGCCACGGTACACACGATCGTTCCCTGAGTCGAAAGAATTCTGCAATATGTCACCGGGTGTCCCGCCGCCAGAAAGCTCCAGCGGCCTCAAACCTTTTGCAGGGCCGGCCATGCCCCGCAAGATGTACCAGAAAACGCCCAATAGATTCTTAAGAAGTAATACGGCGTTTCTTGATACGGGCTGACTGTGCGCTGAATGGCTGGACTTGCGCTTGCAGAGGGGCTGCAAGCCCCCTGCAAGCCCGACCATGCCCAGCAAGATGTACCAAAAAAAGCCCATTAGATTCTTAAGAAAGTAATACGCCATTTCTTGGTACATTCAGATTGTGCGCTGGATGGCTGGACTTGCGCTTGAGGGGCTGCAAGCCCGGCCATGCCCCGCAAGATGTACCAGAAAGCCCATTAGGTTCTTAAGAAAGTAATACGCCATTTCTTGGTACAGCACTTCGGCGATCTCATTTTTAGATGGCAAATTTGACCGGTCTTCAGTACGTCATCCAGTTTGGAGGCACCACTGAGGTACCTCACAATTCAAGTTCATGATTTATTCTCCAGAAACCATTGAACTGAAGCCAAGAGGGGCTGGTGGGGACCTGGTGGCGTCACTTCAAATGACTTGGAGTCTACGGAATCCTGGTGGCATGCTACAAGAATCTCTTGGAGTTTGACTGTACCAGAAGACGACCTACTAGTGAAGTCAGT